AACATTTGTACAAAATCACTGTAAGAAATCTGATGAATTACACGAAAGGGATATTAAATTGCAATTCTACTGCCTTGGCTCCTGCAGTTGGTATTTTGGTATTCAAAAGTAAGCCTGTCCTTCCTTATAAGCTTATCCCTTCTTACCCCACCTTCCCACAGGGACATGCCTGGTCAAGGGACCTGTGGTCTCTCCCCATGGGGGCTCCCAGTGGGCTTATGCTCACAAGTCAGCAGCACTGCTGCCTGCAGATGTCCCTGCTCTTGCTCTTAGTATATCCTCACTAACTTAATTCTTCACCTAACTTGATGCCTCTTCGTCTTTTGTTTTGGTTTTTTTTTCCAAGTTTTTACCACCCTTGCACTACCATTTCCCTGCTTATACTCTTCCCAAATAAACAACCTACTCTTGATTTGTTTTCCCTCATTGGTCCCATTTTTTTTACACTCAAAAGTTAGTGTTTCTGACAGTATTACCTAGGCAATATTTTCTCTAAGATGATATTACCATTAGAGTTGGCTGAATGTGACATCCTTGCCTCCAAGGGCTGCCTTTTGAATCTGTGGGTCTCATTGGGAACATTAATGTTACACATTTCTGGACAGAATTACCATACTTTACTCTTGATTCTCCAACCTAATTCTAATTAAGCAACACCTCACCTTATGCACAGAAAGCTTGCACACCAGTGCAATGGTATGGCTCATGTTTGCACATACGTCTGCTCTTAAATAGTTTTCTTCACACTCAGTGTTCCCTTCAAAGGGTATAGCTCCCTGTGAGGGTGAGACTTGGACACAGCACAGGATTCATCTCATGTGAAGCTGGACATCTGCTCTGTAGACACCTCTCAACCAGTTACCCTGTTCTACATCTCTAATCCCCTTACCCTTCTATGATGAGATTTAGCTCTGGTATCTGAAATAGATCTGATGAGATTCTCTGGAATCAGCAGAGCTGATGTTGTGCCTATATTGCATAAATCTTAAATTAGATCCTGTAAACCCCATTTCTAAACTCTGCTTAGACTCTGGATTTCTTAGAGATTAGTGGGATTATGAATCATCCAAAACATGAGAAAGACTTGGAACTGAAAGCCTTCTCAGCAGATACCGTAATTGAGGGCCAGTTCTTCCAGGTTTATTACACAAATCCTAGAACATCATTCTGGTGTAGGCACACTTTTCTTCATTTAACTGTATACTGAGCAAATCAGGAGATTCATCTCCCCATCCTTGCACTTTAATTCAGGGGTGAATGTCTCTATGTAAGCTAGTCACCTCCACCCACCTTCGTGGTTGAGAGAAAGCAGTAGGAACTTTCTGGGAGAGATGCAGTTGGTCAGTTTAAGTGCCAGTATAAAGATGGGATTAATTATGTCCTAGATCTGACTGGTTTTGCCACTGAACAAAAAGGCTCCTGCTCAGATCAAAACAACCACATTGGGTTGTCACCATTAGTGTTATGTTCCCAGAAATCTGTTTTTCTCAGGACATGAATAGTTGAGCACTTCAAACATTGTCCATTGCTAAATTTGAAACTTTCCGGCTTTTTGCATCCTACATATTGACTAATATATGTCCATTTGATTTCCCTTCATCTCAATTGTATGCCCATGGGTATAACTGTTTTTAACAAAATTCTACAAGGATCCTTAACAGACTTACTTTTGAACGTTAACAAGTTTGTAAACCATAATGTTTTAGACTGTAACCCGCAATAATGTAAGATCAAAGAACAGTGCAGTGATCATCAAGAAATTATAAATATTCTAGATAGTGGAAGATAGTAGAAAATACTGCATATGACTAAAAGTTCCCAGAGTCATTCCACTAGTAGTTGAAAAATGAAGAGGTGGAGATTAGGTAATAAGGAAAGCCCAAGTATAATCAAGAAGAGGTATATTACTGCTGGTCTCAAATGCTTTTCCATTATGTTCCCTACCTTTGGATTCCAGATTTTTCTTTTCATTATCTGCAGAATCTGTGTGCATAAAAGGATACAAAATGAGAAAATAATGAAAAAAAATAGCTTCCTAAAATTGTGGAAGAAAACAATTGTGTCCCCATATTAGTTGCTGGTATTGTTACAGCATGCAAATTAAAATATTGGATGGTGGGTAGTACACAAACAATAGACCTTGAACTTCCATTTGAAATAAGCATTAGCAGCCTCCTCCATTTTTTTCTTACAAGTGCACAAATATCTTACCATAATTCTGATTCCTTTTATATATTCTCCTTGTTAACAGTTTACTAGATTTTGAGTCACTCTGCTAATTAAAGAAATAAACATATTGTTCTCATTTTTTTTCTCAGTAGGCAAAACTGAAAACTCACATGATCAAATTACTGTATCTGTCTGTTACTCTTCGACTGGGATATGCTGTTGTTTATTGTAGCCGTGGAAAGGGGTTTTAACCCTTTAAGTGTGGCGGAAATAAGATGCACAGCTACATGGTCATTTTTCATGATAGGAAAGAGAGAGAGACCAGTTTATTCAGGAACACACTTGGTTTTATAGCATGACTTGTAATTCCAAGAGGAGAAAAAAGATGATGGTTCAGAGAGAAGACACCCCATTTTCAGGGCCTGGTCACCTACCACAACAGGTGTTCTATCTTTGTTATTAATTTCTTTTTATTTTAACCAAGTTGTCACCTTGAGAAAATTCTCCCTAGCCTTGAGCTGGACCAGCTTATCAGCTGGGAACAGAGCTGAGAAGCTCCGGCCTGGAATATTTTTCAGGCTGTAATTTTCTTGCTTTCTCAATATATGTACCTACAGTTTATAGCACCAACAAAAACAGCTTCTAAAAGTTCAAAATTGATTGTTACCAATGGCAGCACTACATTGCACAGTGCTCCTTGAAGTATACCCACATCCTCCAGGGGAATACGATCACCCAGTCCATACATCTGCATGGCATCCATAAAAATTAATGGAACTATACTCAATTTCAGAAAAGAAACTGTGGGGGAAACTCTGTAAAATGAAGGATACTGAGCAAAAAATGTGCATTTCATCTGCAAGTAGGTTAATAAGAAATAAACTCCATGGAAATAGTGAATTTATGATCATCCAGATATTTAACTAAAAAATGGACCAAGCTGAGAAAACTGCTGGAGTTTATAAAATTGTCTTGATTCAATATTTCCTCTAAACAATGGTTTAAACATAAAGCAGAATTCATAACATGACATAGAACTCTACTACATCCATGAAATAATTTACTGAATAAAAGACCTAAGCTATAAATAGGTCAGGGCATGGTTTCAGTTTGGTGGACTGCTTTTATCAGTATGAAAACTCTACCTCTTCAATGAAACATGAGAATTAAATATAAAGCTGAAACAAAAGTGTTTTAGTATATAAAAGTACTTAAGATACAGACATGAACCTTCTCATTACAAGCATAAAACCTTGGTTTGGGAACTTTTTACTGCTGTATGTTGTAAGATTAAGAGCCTGCTATACAAATATGACCAAAGCAAGACTTAGGCAATGCTTGGTACCTGCTCCATACCTTTCATTCATTTGACTGCCAGGGAGGTATCCAAATCCCAGAGCTGTGTTTTCAGGTAGCGTAAGGGCAGAAATGGATACCTGAGAAATGTGACTGAAAAACCTCAGTTGTTGAGTAGAGGATTGCTTAGAACCACATGGAAAATTCTAAGGATGGCAGCTTTGGTCCCCTCTCTGTGTTTTAGCTCTTTAAGTCAGCCCTAGAGGCAGGAGTGGCAGCATCATTGCTGTCTCTATTTATGAACAGCATAGCAGTTCAGAGCAATCATCCTGTTTTGCAGCTTGTTTATACCCCTTTCACCTCCCTTTCAGGAGATGTTGGGCTCAAGCTGTGAAGGAGGTGGAAAAGTGAAGGCACTGCTTGCTTTAGCCAAGAGAGGGGCAGGACATGGAGCCTGACTCTGTACCCTACAGCTGGGTTGCCTTGAGGTTTCATTTGAGGAGCAGTGCATGTGAAGTGCCCTGAATGAGGCACTCTGGTTTCCTGTAGCCACTAGATTTAATCCTTCTGACTGTATTAATTATTCGCTGTGGGCCAAGTCAGGTTCAGAAATAGCAATGAGAAATCCCTTCCTCCTTTCCCAGATTACTTATTAGGCTGCTGGGTCATTTTCAGGGGCTCAAAACCCTGAGCTTAGGTAGGCTGCAGGCTGGTCTTCACAACATTCCCAGTCATTAAGTTACATTCATAAAAGTCACACCACAGCATGCACAGCATCTCTGCTGTTCAGGTTTCTGAACAAGACTGACTGTGGCTGCTGCATTCTGTGCAGGCACTTGCATGGAATATAATCCAAGTTTGCCTGCCTGTTGAAGTCCATCCAAGGATTTTTGTGATCCATATATTTGTGGCCCAGGCCAACGTGATTCTGGTCAGGCAGGAGAGATGTAACTGAAGACATTTACTTAAGCTGGGAGTGACTTCTAAATCACAGTGGCTGACTGCTAGCAAATTTTTTGTTCCTCCAGAATAGGCAGCCATAGAAGAGAAGAAAGTAGGAGTTTGCCTCATGATTTTGAACATGATACCTACATCTTCCTTTATCTCCACCAATAAATATTTCAAAATACACCAACCATTTGGTGCATGCATAGAAGGATGTGCTACATTGTGACCTAAGGACTTTGTCCATGTCCCTAAAGAATCCAAGCAGCTGCACTTCTGTGATATGATATCTATTGCATATGTCAAAAAGATATGTGAGATACTGCTCAGCATCGAGCTGCAGTGTTTTGAAAATGTGGAGGGAAATAAATGAAGTCACATATTTCTTGATGCTGATCTCCAAGAACTGGACAGCCATTCACGACTGCTTCTAAGCATCTATTAAAGAAGTTTCAGCTGTAAATCTTAGATTTGATCCTGGTCTTTGCTTTAGCAGCTCCCAGCAAGTCTGCTAATCAAAGCTGATTTTGATGTTTCAGATGCTCTAGCTGATACCTTTTAACTTTTGTTATGTGTGTTCTGGTTTGCAGGGTGGAAAGAAATACACAGGACCGTGCGGAGGCAGAGACTGCAGTGGAGGATGTCAGTGTTTCCCTGAAAAAGGAAGCCGCGTAAGTAACATTTTTTCCTGAAAGCTGTTCTTGATGGTACAAGTTCAATGCTATATAATTTGCTATGGGTGGACTTGCACTAAACTGCTAAGAGTGCTAAAACAATTACTCTTTTTCAGGAAAAAGTTGTTGTTTCATCTTACTTTCTCACAGGCTCGTGGATTTGAAGAAATACTTTGTTGTGAATACCTTGTTATGATATGTAGCAGGCACTTATCTCAAAGATGAGGGCCAAGAGACCTGATGGCCATGATAAGCTGATCAGATCAGAATGATGAAAAGATACCACATACATGCCTGGGATACACACATTTGGTGATTTTAGAGATCTTTTCCAACTTAAATGATTCAATAATTCAGTGATTGTGTGTGATTTCCGCTAAAGCAGGAGGGAAGCCTGCAAAACCTGAAATCCCTGCTGAAAGGAAACTGTTTAGAATTTCTGGCATTATGTTGTGACTGATAGTCTGTTCTTCATTTTGGGGACTAATGAGGAATGAGGCAGAGGAAAGGAGATGGGGTGGAGGGGATTAGCCACCTGCCACAAAGAGCACTGAGAAATAGGGCAGTTCCTATCCTGTATGGCTTGGAGCCCTGGCTGGCAGGCTCCTTCTGTACAGCTTGGTCTTCTGCAGCTGAGACAGTGACTCAGCCTTTTCCATCCACCCATCTCTAAGAATAGGTCAGGCAAGAGATGTGGTGGCAGGTCATGTGCTTGTTCTGCTATCACAAACCTCATAAGATTTTTCAGTTCTCTGCCTTCCCTCCACTCAGCCAGCCATCAATTCCCATTCCCATTGCATTCCTCAAGCTTGACTCCACGTCTGAGTGGAGGGAGAGGTGGTAGGAAAGTCACAGTGTAGGTGGGAGGCAAGGAACACTGTTGTTTACAACATAAGTCCTGATGTCTCCATGGAAGTCAGATGATCCTGGGGTTACCATGCCATGGGGACTGTAATGGTTATACTCCCATGGCCTGACCATGAGCTGCTCATGATCTGCTTTCCATTACAATAAACCAGTGGCAACCTGATGAAACTGAGGACAAACAAGCCCTGAGACACATCTTCCCATGGGACTCCTTCCAGCTGTTACTGCCTTACCCTTATCATCCAGCACATGAAGTTTGGCAAGTGCATCCTGCCACTTACCACTTTTGACTGAAGATCAAAAACTGATGCTGTAAGATGCTCACTAGAGTTTATGAAAATATCTATTGCAAAACTGTAAACTTCTGTTACTGAACTGTTTTTCATGCTCCTTATTGACTGAATGGCCTTGAATTTCAAGTTGCCAAATGTGAAAGAAAAAAGAGATAGTTAAAAAAACCTAACTGCATAGGTTAGAAAAGTGAAAATGTGAAAACACCACAGTAGAGAAGTAGTCAGGTGACACTAACAAGATGCTCCCTGTGAGTTTCTTCCTATCTAGACTGGGAAAGTGAGGGCAGATTTTCTGTACTTGCATGACACTCTCATTTTTATCTCAGAGAAGTAAGTAACCCCGTTTACTAAATGACATTGGCCTCCCTTTAAATAGATACTCAGAAAGAGAAAAAGGATATGCTACAAAACATAAATTACATTTTACTGCTTGTAGTTAATTGTGCAAGATGTGAAAAAGTATTGGAAAAAGGAATTTACAGAATTTTACATTTCAAAAATCGTATTTTTTTTCTCTGTATTTTACCTCTCAGAAATGATACACCTCATTCTGATTTAGCATACACTGCCTGTATTTTGTGTCTGCTGATCTCTTCAGATGTCACAACCCCTGTTAAACATCTGGTTTAAGGAACAAGATTGGCCTTCGGAGTCTAGTCAAATTTGGCTTAGCTTCTGGTCTCATGCTAATCCTCAATGGGAATATTTATTTTCACAAAACCTCTGTATAATCTGGCACGGCAGAGGTGACTCATTGCGTGCACAATAGATGTATTGCGTGTTTGCACTTGTAAGAGTGCCTGAAGCAGGGTGTCAGAGTCTGCTTCTGCAGTGACTCTCCAGCCCAGGGGCCACAGAGCTGTCACTTGCAGGGACAAGTGTGCCTGGAACTCAGGTAGGAACAGCACTGCAGTGGTCTGCAGCCAGCTGTCAGCCCTGCTATCCTCTGGAAATTCACCCTCTGTTTGTGACAGGTCTAAAACCAGCAAATTAAAAGCATTTTCTTTGGATTGCTGCTACTGAATACACATCAGCATCTGCTGAATGAAGTGAATTCATTGAAGTGGTAAAAACAACTGCAAACTTGAAAGGAGTAAAGGTTTGAAGAAATGCCTGCTCTTTATTTATATGTGCTTCTATTTCATTTGTTGTCATTGCTTCAGTTGTAGTCTTAAGATACAGCATTTAAGAAAAGATGCTTAGCTTAATTTGTTGTCTTAATCCAATAATTTTGTCTTTTAAAAAGTGTTTTTTGCAAAATATACCCACTGATATCTCCTGGAGCTCTGTGCTAGAGACAGAGAGGCAGTGTCAAGATGTGTGGAGATCCATCCAGGCTTTGGTGATTTGTGCCAGGTCTCCAGGTGCAGGGCATCTGGAAGCCCTGTGCTACTGTCTGCTTTTGCTACCACTGTGCTACCACTGCTTTTGGTTCAGGACTGGTAAGGATAGGCAAAAAGGCACAGGAGAGTTGAATCCTGCTTCACAGGGACAGTTTCATGGGGCAAAAGGAAACCTAGAACAAATCAATGCACCCACCTAGCAGGCCTACTGGAAAGAGGTGTGTAGTTTTAGATTTTCCTCTACTTTATTTTGCCTGGGCTGGGCTGCATCTTTCACTGGGCTCAGACACAGCTAAAATCCAGTGGGGATAGAAAAATACAACAGCAGAAGCATCATCTGCCCTCTGTAGTGGTGGGGGAGCTGCTGCAGCTAAAGCAAAAGCAGCATCTAGCCTGTAACCTCCTGCCTCTATCTGAGCTGCTCCCAGGGCTGTAAGGACACCTGCAAATGGAACTTTCTTCTTCATTCCCAAAATGAAAGTTGGTCAAATCCAAATGTTCAGAGAATCAGGACGTTGCTGATAACTGTGTTTGCAACTCATAGCAAATGCTGAGTTGTTTCCTGGAGAAGTTTCTCTAAAGAAATGTTTTCTCAGGCCATACACGATCCCCTTGAAGTTCCCACCTCCAGTCCTGCTTGTGTTCACGTCTTCATAGTATAAGGAGTAAAGTTCCTTCTGTAAGCTGGTTTTGTTTTTCACAGTCTTTAATGACAATTTAGTCTTTGTTTCACTGCAGCCAACTTATCTTCCAGTTGTATTTGCTGTTAGCTGGTTACAAATATCCAGTCTATCTAACCATAACTTGCATCTAGATAGTGGTTGGAGCTGGGGCTGCAGAGCCAAGCTTGGGGACCAGCCTCAGCCTCATCTCCCCTTCTCACAGCTGGCAAAAAATCAGGGGAGTTGCAGTGCAAATCAAAGCTCCTGAAGGAGTGTTCAAATTCACATGACAAGAAACCATAGTATAAGCCTCAGTGGAGGACACAGAGTGAGCAGGCAGAGGAAAGGCAGCAGACTTATCTTCTCCCTGAGACAGATTCATCTTCTCGTTTTCTTCTATGGCAACTTCTCTTAAATTGTTCTCCTACAACAGACTCACTTTCCCTAAGGTACATTTGGTACATAATGTAAGGAGTGAGTACACAGATGTCTGGAAAAGAGTAAAGGGAAACACTGATATGGTATTGAAGTCCTGTTTTGAATGAAATGGAAAGCCTGGATTAAAGGAGTTTAAAAAAAAAGTTAAAAAAAATAAAAACATCTGGTTTTCTTTCTTTTTTCTCAAGATTTTTATTTCAGCTCCTAAAATCTTGACATTTATAATTCTTTTCAAACCATGCATTGCTCAGAGAACAATATATGTGCCTTAAAATTTGTTAAACATTAATGCACTTATGTAGGAAACGATAACTCCATTCAGTACAATGGCCAACTGTTTGACCTATTGAAGTTCATAATCAGCCTCACTTCATAACCAGCCTAAAAGGCTTTATAGAAAGTGGAAGTGAGTAGAAATCTTTTTGATCTTTCTATAGAGTGAGAAATTGCACTCTTTTGTACTTTCCAAGTCAAGCATCTAACAGTGTTCAAGCCATTTAGCCATTGTTTTTGCAAGGGGCTGGAATGATGGAAACTGAAATTAAAAGACAGCTTTGTGTCCCCCCATAAAGGCCACTTTTTGGGAATGCCCAAACATTCCATTTTAACCTAGACTGACGTGAGTATTCACTAGAACTCCTTTACAGATACCTGTTATATTGCTTTCACTAATGCAGTGGGCAAGGATAAGCTATTACCAGTGCACTTCTGTCTGCTTTTGTATGCTATACAGTTGGGAAATCTAGAGTGTGATATTTACTTGCAAGCATTTTCCATACAAGTTTAAGTCTTAACACATGGGCTAGAGCTAGATGTGTTTCTTTGTAATTAAAAATGAACGACAAAGTAGAACACATAAATATTCTAAAGTCAACTCCATTATTATAGGGAAATGTTTAAATCCAATAAAATAATTTTATCAACTGTTACTTTAGTTCTTGTATATCACAATTAACTGGCTTCCAAGTATAATGGCAGTAGCTCCTTGTAAGTGTGTTGGTATAAACTGATATCTCTGATGAAATCTGATTTTTTTTTCCTCCACAAAACAATAACATGAGAAGCATCTTCTTAGTTATTCATCTAGCTCACTATTCTGTTCCCAACAGTGGTAGTAAGAGATGCTATTTACAGGGAGCACTGGCAATTTTCTGCAGTCCATTTACTTGTACCCAAGATAACCCAATTTATATGTTCCTTCAGTATCAGTGTTTCATCCTAAATTTGTCTAATCCTTTTTTGAAGCTACTGTAACTGTGTGTCTTTGCAACCTCCACTGGCATTACTCAAATGATATAAATTTTAGAAATCACTGTCTGACCTGTTCTAAGCAAAGCTCCCTTTGGTTTCATCAAATACACCCTATTTCTAGTACTGTGAGATTTTGAGTAGAT